TCTGTGCATCCCATCAGCCCTCCGTCTTAGCTCCACCCACTGTTCCCCATCCCCACCACTACCACCCTATTCTGAGCCTCCATCACTTCTCCTGGGACTGTGTCCTTAGCCTCTAGCTGGTGTCAAAGCCCAACAAAAGCCGTGTTCTACCGAGCAAAAAGTGACCCATTTCACCCAATGGGTCACCCATATGCCCAATCATATGGCATTTCCCTGCTTAAAACCTTTCATCCCGGGAGCCTAGGTGGCTCAGATGGTTAAGCGTCTGCCTTCGGCTCAGGTCATGATCCCAGGGTCCTGGGATCGAGTCCCGCATCAGGCTCCCTCTGCCTCTGCCTCTCTCTCTCTGACTTTCACGAATAAATAAATAAAACATTAAAAAAAAAAAACAAAAAAAAAACCTTTCATCCCCCTCAGAATAAAATCCCAACCCCTTATACAAGCCCGTAATAGTTTATACAACCTGGGCCCTGCCTAATTCTCATCCTACCACCTTCCTCTGAACACACCAAGCTCATTTCTGCCACGAAGCCTTGGCTCTTGTCTGTTCCTCTACCAGAAATGCTGTGCATGTGGCTGGCTCTTTTCCCCTCTTGTCTTGGCTCCAGTGTTACACACCAGTTAGAACAGCACCCCTGCCCCCAGCCATTCTGGCCTCCCATGACTCCGCCCTGTTTTACTGCCTTCAAGGATGTATGACATCTGACACTCTCTGGTTGATCGGCGCCAGAATGAAGCCCTACCTAGAGCAGCGGCTCTGCCTGCTTCGGGCACTGCTGCGGTGCCTGCACCTGGAACAGGTACTCAGAACAGGACTGCTGGATCAAAAATAACATCTATTTCATCGGATTGGATCCCCTAGGGGAAAAACAGAAAAGGGCCTGGCCTTTCAAATGGCTTAATTTATTGAACAAAAGTGTGTCTGTGAAAAGCACTGACACTACACATTCTATTTTTTATTTTTATATATTCATTTGAGAGAGAGAGCACGAACAGGGGTGGGGGTCAGAGGGAGAGGGAGAAGTGGACCCCCTGCTGAGCGGGGAGCCCGACGTGGGGCTCAATCCCAGAACCCCGGGATCATGACCCGAGCTGAAGGCAGATGCTTACCCGACTGAGCCACCCAGGTGTTCCCTACACATTTTAGACATTAACAAGTTCTGGGCATTGCTAGAAAGTAGCAGTATAGGCAAGTCCTCATTTTTCACAGCTCTACCTGCACAGATCCATATAGCACACTCGCATTATCACCTCATCTCTTGAGATGGAGGCCGTCACCGTTCCTACTTTAAAGTCACTCATCCAAGGCAGTTCAGGTAATCAGCCACAGAGGTGGGCTGAACACTTGTTTACGCAGCTCAGTACCACATCGGCACTGTGCTGGGCACTACGGCTACAGCCTGGCTGTGCCAGGCCTTCCACCAACGAGCCCCGCTCTCTGCAGGCTTCCATCCGGAGTGGACTGACTTGTGCATCCTGGGGAGCCCCAGGCCAGCTGCCTGGCCATCACACTACACCTCCCTGGGAGTCTCACCAAAAGACTGGGCCCAGGCCCTCCACAAGCCACACAGCTACCTCGTGGTGGTGGACGCCGGAGGTTTCTCCCCACCATGCTCTGCTGTCGGAGCTGACAGTGTGGTAAGGCTGGAATGCCAACTACTGTTCATCCTAGGCTGGATAATCTCTCAAAGGCTATCAGACTCCAATAAGCACAGCAAATTGGTCTCCAACTGTTAGAAACATTCCATATTAAAGAGATGCTTGCCACATACGCCCCCAAGTTGAAGGCCATTCCAGCATACAATCTGCCCAGAATGTGTAGGTGATGACTAGCAGAGAATTGTAAGGCTTCAACTCAGGACACGGTCCAGATCTCTAGCTAAGCAGCTCATCCCACTCAAACCCAAGCCTCCACAAAACCACAAATCAAGCAGACTATTAGCACTCAATAGTCAGCACGGGGCCCTTAGGACCCCCAAAGGTCTCTGTCCCAGAAGCCAAGCCATTTGACTTTATTAACTACTGTACCAGCCCCAACTCTCTCCACAGTCAAGTTTTGATTTGGAACAGAGATGAGGATATGTGAAATTCATCTTCCATTGTGTTGCTCAATTAAACTTGGTCTAAATCAAGTGTCACACTGTTCTGTTGTAGTAGAAAGAGAAACCAATTTGATATCAAAGATCTGAATTCAAGGCCTGAGATCCCCACTTACTAAACAAGTCGTTTAAATGTAGGTCACAGTGTAATTTTCATCCCAAACAGGGCACCTGTGAGAGTGAAATGGGATGCTAGCCTGGGCAAATCAGGAAGCAGCGTCACTGCATCTAAATCTCTGAAATCTTAACTTCCTCATCCGTGAAATGCGGTGAGGATCCCTTCACCCCCCCACGGTGGTTGTGACAATCAAGTAGCAACTTGATATAATAGAGTACTTTGTCAACAAAAAGGTAATGATACACATAAGGCATTTTTGGATAAGGCTTAGGCTTCTAGAAGAAGCAAACTAGTAGAATTGAAAAAGGATTAGTGGTTTATCCACAATGAATTAGGTGCATAAAATCAGTCTCTTCTGATCAGAGTCCAACTAGAACTGAGGTCAAGGACTTTATGTATCATGCTCAGGGCTGCAACCCTAACCTAGCCTAGTGTCTGGCATATTTCCAAATAAATGCATACGAATTCATCATTTAAAAAATGCTTTCCTTACCAAACTCTGCCACCAAACTGAAGGATGAGTCCATCTTGCTCAGTGGGCCGGCCTTCTAGAGGCCAAGCATGGAGTGACCCCTCCAGTGAAATCTTAGTCTGGCTTCAACAATCCTTACAGCATTACATAATCTTACTTTTATCTCCGTGACATTTCTAAGGTTACCCAGACTGCTTATTCTTTGATCCTTAAGAAAAAAGTGTGAACTTGAACACAAACAGTCAAATGTCATCCAATTCAGACCTCAGCTTCCTGCATCAACATGACCTCAGGCTGGTTACATTTATAGCCCCAGATAAGAAAGAAGCATTAACATCATAATATGGTCATTCAATAAATTGTTCAGAGGAAACTCAAGCCCTAACAAGGGAAAAACATTTCTGGGTGGGTGAGTGCTCTATTCTTTGCCCACTCCAGGAGGGGCAGCAGGGTCCTTAGGCCTAGGAGTCAGAAACGGGGCTGGAGCTTCCCTCTGGCCCAGGGAGAGCCACTAGCTTATCTCCTGGGCTCTGCTTCCTCTTTCATAAAATGCAAATGCCATCCTGTTCTGAGGCTACTTCACAGACTTGAACTGAAGAGCAAGTGACATGCTGGGAGTCCTTTCTATAAAGTATACTTGCAATACAAATTAAAGGCAAGAGAGTTATGAGACGGTGATCCAGTTCCATTATGGCCCAAGCTGAGGTGCTGTTCATTTCAGCAAGTCCAAGGTTAGGTTCCTGCTCTATGGCTAGGAGCTATCCTCTGAGGAGCTGGGGTGAGCCCACCCTTCAGAGGGTGACCTTATACCCTCTGAAGCTGTAGCCCAGACATCATCTGGCTTTATCCAGCTCTTCCTGGCTCCCAGTTCCCATTCTGTTTGGGAGACGAGAGGAAATCAGAAACAAAGAAAAAAAGAATTGCAATTGGAAAATTCTTCTGCCAAGGTCATACCATAGGTGCATTTTCTGACTTCTGGGCATTACAATTCTTAACTTTGCAATCACACTACTAGAGCTTACATTAACTTCCGGTGTAGTTTTTTTTAAAACTTTACTCAGGGACCCCTGGGTGGCTCAGTTCGTTAAGCATCTGCCTTCGGCTCAGGTCATGATCCTAGGGTCCTGGCATCAGGCTCCCTGCTTGGGGAGGAGTCCACTTCTCCCTCTGCCCCTCCCCCTGCTTGTATACTCTCTCTCCCTCTCTCAAATAAATAAAATCTTTAAAAAAACCAAAAAACAAAAAACTTCACTCAAAATAACCCCAACAGTCTCAATAATTTTGTCCTAGAAACTCTGAAATGCTACTCTAATTCAGGGATTGGCAAACTATGATCCACAGGCCAAATCTGGGTATTTTGATAAATAATGTTTTATTGGAACAGAGTTGCTCAGATTTGCTTATGTATTACGTATGACTATTTCACACTATAAAGGCAGAATTTTGTAGTTGTAACTAAGACAACATGGCCCATGAAGCCTAAAATACTTACTGACCTTTTACAGAAAGTATACCAAACCCTGTTCTAATTCTACCTGCCTCAAAATACAACAGAAAAGAGTGTAGTCCAAGTTTGTTAAATAAACTGCTTTTTTTTCAAAACCAGCAAGGTGTCTCTTTTTATTTTTTTAATTTTTTAAAAAAGATTTTATTTATTTGTCAGAGAGAGAGAGAGAGGTGCGCGCACAAACAGGGGGAGTGGCAGGCAGATGGAGAAGCAGGCTCCCCACTGAGCAAGAAGCCTGATGCGGGACTCGATCCCAGGACCCTGAGCCAAAAGTAGACACTTAATGACTGAGCCATCCAGGCGTCCCAAGATTTCACTTTTTAAAAAGAAATCCTAAAAAATCATACATTTACAGAATGAGCATTTTTGTATGTTGAGCAAATCAAGGAGAAAAAAAGTACTTTCAGATTTATCATCACTGGGAAAAGTGTATTTTCCTCCACATCCATAAATCTATTATGCTGAACTAATTATACACAGACATCTCAAAAAAATATTGGTCTAAAACTGAATCCACAAACTGAATCTTGATCTCAAAGCAATTTTCTTTAGTATTAGCTTGAAAAATGGGGCCTGCACAATAGTCTTTTACATTAAAGTATATCTTACTATTAATACTAAAAATTAAATTCCTGCAATAATGAGATGTCTGACCATGTTTACAGAAGTGTATAATAGTTTTCTTACTGTTAGTTTGAATGTACTATAACACTAAGCTAAATATATCTAAATATGTGAAGAATCACTCAAAAAGCAAAATCCAATATCCAATTTATGTTTGTAAAAGAAAATGGGATTACTCACTGAGGTAAAGGGTGAGGATCCTTTATTTCCCAGCCCTTGACAGCCCTCCAGGTGGTAGGTTAGCTTTCTAGGGTCTGAATATGGTGGAAAAAAATCTGCACATGGGAAGGGTAACAAGAGCTCATCCACCTTCCTTTCTCAGATGTTAGTGCTTTCTCCTTTGATGAAATAAGAAGTTGTTCTAAAGTAGGGATAAGAACAAGGACTTTGAGACAATGCCAAAAGAAACAAATAAAAAAATTTAGAAAGAAAGGAAAAGGTAAGCTACTCATAAAATGTAGGCTGTCAAAGTTCTATCCTTAAAATATAACTCTAAACATTACACATGTGAGGGTAGGTCCCTCAGTTGCTGCTATACTCCCTTCATCAAAAATTAATCCATTTAGGGGCACCTGGGTGGCTCAGTCGTTAAGCGTCTGCCTTCGGCTCAGGTCATGATCCCAGGGTCCTGGGATCGAGCCCCGCATCGGGCTCCCTGCTCAGCGGGAAGCCTGCTTCTCCCTCTCCCACTCCCCCTGCTTGTGTTCCCTCTCTCGCTGTCTCTCTGTCAAATAAATAAAATCTTAAAAAAAAAAATTAATCCATTTATTCTGTTTTAAAGGAAAAATGTGAGTATTTTGCTGTCATCTTTTCAAAGTTCTATCCGAAAAGTTCTAAACAAAAAAAAAACAAACTTCCCCGGATTGTCCTTTGAAGGGATCGAGCTCATCTGTGGCCTTCTCCATGAGCCGGTCATTACTGTGTACACTGTCCAGCCTAGAAAAGCTTGCCACAGCCCAAAGATACAAACCTCCCGACGAACGACATTGGCAGTTCTCTCCAAGTGATCAGTTTTCCTTTTGGATTTCATTATGCTTTAATAGAAAGCAAAATTAGATTATTATGTATTATCCTCATAAAAATAATTAGTTTCCCCTATAATATCATGACTATTCATAGTACACTCTAACATTACGGAGCCTAGGAAGTGGTCAGTGAAAATCTGCACATCTAACTCAAGTTTAATGGTCTCCGGATGGCATGCCTATTTAGGCAAGATGTTCTGATATGCCTTCAGGAGTCTGATGAGCCTCCCACGCCCATCAGCAGGTCAGGTCTATGAATCCCCTCAAATGACACTGAGGGCCAGAAACCCACCTTGCTAGAGTCAGGTGGCGCAAAGCACTGGCTGTCAGCCTCAGCGAGGCAGCCGGGGTGCGGACGGTCCCAGCAGAGCTTCGCAACAGCCCAGGGACCGCGACAGCAGCACAGACCATGGTGCCTCCTGCGCAAACATAAAACTGAAGTTAAAATACTTTAAGAAAAGGCAGGGAAATATCAGACGATTTCAGGGGCCAATGAAGAAGAGTTTGGATTTTTGTTGGTAGCCATATGAGCTGCTCTAACAAAACAAACAAAGCAATTAAAAGGTCTAACTCCACCCTGACAAAATTTCTGCCACTATTTAGAGCTGACTCACCCGACCCCCAAAGTACATACCTACGTACTTAGTGGTGCCATCAAATATCCTTACCCTCTGTTAGTTTCCAAAATCACTAACCAAGCTCATGTGACTGATCTTACACTATTAGAGGAGAGGAGAGATTTTATAACTGCCTAATAATTGTATTCCACTCAAAGAGCACCACGTAAGTCTTTAGTATTTCTTGCTAGATAAAGTGCAAGCAGCAAACTGTCCGAGGTTCACGGCCATGTGAATAAACCAATGGCAACTGCGTGCAGTCACACAGATGAGCATCACTAATATCACACTGAGTGAAAGCCAGACTCAAAAAAAGCATATATTGTATGAGTCCAGTCATAAAAAGTATAAAAACAGACTAACTTAATCTCCCAAGTCAGAAATCAAGTTAGCAGTTACCCTCGGGGAGGTAACAGCGGCAATGCTGTTTCTTCATCTGAATGCTGACTGCATGGGTATTTCCATTTTGTAAAAATTCATCGAACCACAGAAGATTTTTAGGGTATTAAAGATACTCTGCATGATACCATAGTGACAGTGACAGATACATGTCATTATACATTTGTCTAAATCCACAGAACACTCCATGCTAAGAGGGAAGTAAACTACAGATTCCGGGGCATTATGATGTGTCAGTGCAGCTCATCAGCCGTAACAGATGTACCACTCTGGTGGGGGACACCAATAATGGGGAAGCTACCCTTGTGTGGAGGCAGGGAATACATGGAAAAATCTCTGTACATACCCCTCAATTTCGCTGTAAACTTAGAAATGCTCTAAAAAAAAAAAAAAATTAAGTCTTAAAAAAATTAATCAAGCTGTCCTCCAAGGATTTATATACTTCTGTTTCAATAAAACGTTAAAAAAAAAAAAAAAGAAAGAAAAACCAGAAAGATTACCCGACATTTAAATTCTAAAACCTATAGGCTTATCAAAAAAAAGCACTGACGGTGAGTCAGATAATACATTTTTTTGATTCCTACCATTCTGTTATCTTCTGCCAATTTTTGACTATTTCTCTCAGATGGTCACATTTAACACATTACATTGCCATATATAGCTGTCCTATATTAGTTAGAGAATAAATGAAAATGTATGTACATACCCTTTTTTCTGAACTCTTTGGAAGGAACTATATAAATTAATTGTAAGAAATTTCATGTTAGAGGGCGCCTGGGTGGCTCAGTTGGTTAAGAAATTTCATATTAGAAAAATTCAAGCTAAGTGTGCTTACATTCCTACTCCATATTTGTTCATTTAGTCCTTCATCTGACAAATATTTATTAAGAGTCCATTATGTTGCAGATACTGGGGATACAGACATAAACGAAACAAAGACCTTCTTAGGGAGCTAACGTTTTAGAAGATAGAGACAGAAAACAAATAAAAGTAAATAATCAAGTGATGATAAAGTCAGTTATAACCAAGTCATATCAAAAAGCACTGCTTTCTAACTAAGAGATCTATTTCCTATCATAGTATGTCGTAGCACCATTGTGGGTAAACACGCTGCTCACCATTTTTCTCTCTAGTAAATGAAAAAAACATGAGACCTTTCACCTCATGTATGACTACTAAATGTTGTTTCTCTCCTTTAAATGTACTAAACCAAAAATGGTGCATTCGTTGTTGAAAGAAGGAAGGCAAAACTTACTTTAGAAGTCCATGAGATTTTAGGAGTCATGAAGTATGTGGCTGGCTGACTGACTGACATGCAATACCTTGGTCCTGGTATTATAGTGAGACCTTTGGATAGACACCGGTTGGAACAAGGGCAGTGTTTCCATATACTGAAATTCTCACAAAGTTCCTGCAATGGCAGAGATGACATGTAAGAACCATGTTCTGGGAAACAGTGAAAAGGCACTCTCGGCTGTAAAAGGAAAGGCTCATTATAATCAGCAAGCATCACCTCACAGCAAGTCTACTCTTCACTACCTCCTTCCCATCAATTCTTCCCCCTTGTGTTTCCACTTGTCCCTTCTGATTGTTTCTCTTACTGCTTCCCTTTTTCAGCTTCCTTGGCTTGTCTTTAACTCTTGTTCCTTATGATACCCACCCCATGAAAGACCAGAGCAGGGGCACCTGGGTGGCTTAGTTGGTTAAGTGTCTGCCTTTTGCTCAGGTCATGATCCTGGGGTCCTGGGATCGAGCCCCATGTCGGGCTCCCTGCTCAGCAGGGAGTCTGTTTCTCCCTCTGCCCATCTCCTCTGCTCCTGCTCTCGCTCTCTCTCTCTCAAATGAAATCTTAAAAAAAAAAAAAAAGACCAGACCAATGGCTAGAATGATATAGTTACATGTCACTTAAGGCAAAGTTCCCTGACAAAATTGAACTCATATATAGTTAATATGGTAACACTGTTCTGCTCAGTGTTTTAGACAACCATGGCTAAAAAAAATTGTCCTCAAATAAGATAGACTTTTTGGTGATTATGCTGTTTAAAGGGTCTACTGCTCAACTGAACTTGAAAATAAAGAAGTGTTGGGGCATCTGGGTGGCTCAGTTGGTTAAGCATTTGCCTTCGGCTCAGGTCATGATCCCAGGGTCCTGGGATCAAGTCCTGCGTTGGGCTCCCTGCTCAGCAGGGAGTCTGCTTCAATCCTTCTGCCCCTCCCTGCCGTGCGGGCGGTGCATGCGCGCTCTCTCAAATAAATAAACAAAATCTTTAAAAAAAGAAAAGAAAGAAATGTTAATTTTAAAAAGCTGTTCTCTTTAAAATTCTAAAATCTGGTTTTTGAATGCCAGTAACCATGACCAAGAGTGCCACCTACTGGTAAATAAAGGGTATTTTTATCAAATTGTGTTCAAAGGGCCCCCCAAAGCAATAAGGTATTAAAAACAAAAATAAAAGACAAAAATCTACCCATCTTTTGAAATACATCCAATAGTTTCATATATTCAATGTAAGTACTTGATTAGCTATAGAAAATTAACACACATTAAGGATTTTCTAAAATGATACAAGAAACTATATTCCATCAATGTTTCTATCCTCACAGGCCTCACCTCAACCAAAAAATTCTTACTTAACTCTATTTCTGAAACAGAAAGTTATCTTATGATAAATAAATAAAACGTATCCACTTAAGCAGTAAAAAAAACTACTGCAGGTGACAGATTAAGATTTAAAACGAACTATACTGGTTTCTGTTCGATAAGTACACTCAATTTATTTAAGAATTGCTGGGGTGCCAGGCACTATTTTAGGCTGTGGAGACACACTGGTTTCTGTTCAATAAGTACACTCAATTTATTTAAGAGTAAAAAAAAAAAACCCTGCATTACATGTTTGGTTATGGTTTTACTTTCTTCAGCACAGCATGAACTCAAACTGGGCAGAACCATACAGGGAATCACCTCTGGCACACAGAGGCAGGATGAAAGCAGTATGGAAAGCCAAGGAGACCCCCAAATCTAGGTTTCAAGGGCACCAGCACTGTTCTAGCAGCCAATCTCAGCAGTCTGCAGAGCTTCAGGGCTGTTATGTTTACTCTAGCTTTGCTTCAATACCATCATATCACAGATGACATCAAAGTTACTTAAGAGCCTAAGTTCTGGCGTCTCACCGATCTGAGTTCTCACCACAATTTACTGCCACTTACCAGCTTTGCCTCCTTAGCTAAGTTCTTCAGCCCCTGGTTTCCCAATGTTGATGATGGGATTAATGATACCTATACCTCACTGGGCTGTTTTAATGACATCATGCATAGAAAACATTTGATAGAGTGCTGGACACATAGTGTCCATTATTATTAGTAAGTGGTTCACTAGTTTTTCTTTTTCCATTTTAGGTAATACATACTCCAAAAAAGTTGGAAAATTACAAAAAAATTATAAAAAAAATTTTACCCAACAACTCCTGTAACTTCCAGGCCTATTAACCTCAAATTTTAAAATTCCCCAGCAAATTGTTTTTGCTAGGTCCAAATTGCTTTCTAAAAGGTCTACCAAACTTCCAAGAACCAAATATGAATGCACTCATTTCTATACATTCAAAAAAGGGCTCATCTTTAATTTGTAGGTAGTTATGCTGAGAAACACTGAAGAACTAAAGATGATTTCCAACCTCAAAATGATCACTAGGACTACAGAACAGACCCTGGAAGACTCTCACTTGTCCTCCTGTCTTCAAGGGACTACCTGGGGAGTATCTGTGCCTACAGAGATACAAGGAGCAGCCATGGAGCTGGGTGGGCTTTGCTGGGATGTCTCCTCTGCCCAGTCACACTGGAAATCATCCTAGTTAAGCCTCAACAAGTTTAACAAGTGTTTCCTAACTGCCAGGTAGGTCTTCAATTATGCAAAATGTGAGGCCTTTGGGATAACCTTCCACAAACTTCTTAAATGTAACTTCTTGGTTTTCTCCCAAAGACTCCTCTCTGCCTTTAGGTTTTCAAGCCTCAAACCAGGTGGAGCTTTCAACTCAGTATGCACAAAATTGGTAGCTTCATGCAAACCTGAGAATGTATACATAAATAAACATAGGAATGTGTATACATGTAGGTATTACATGAAACATACCATGTAAATATAAAAGAAATATGGTATATATAATTGTGAACTCAGTAAATCTCGTAATTTCCATGCAAAAGTTAGATCTGTATGTGATCTTGTGTATCATCTCTAATCCAACCTTTTTTTAGTTAGAAGAGAAAATAAGGCCCAAAGAGTGTAAATATCCAGGGGCACCTGGGTGGCTCAGTCTGTTGAGTGTCTGCCTTTGGCTCGGAGTCCTGATCCCAGGGTTCTGGGATTGAGCACCACGTTGGGCTCCCTGCTCAGTGGGGAGACTGCTTCTCCCTCTCACCCCTGCTAGTGCGCTCTCTCTCTCAAATAAATAAATAAAATTTTTTCTTTTTTAAGATTTTATTTATTCTGATAGCAAGAGAGGGAGCACAAACAGGGGGAGTGGCAAAGGGAGAGGGAGAAACAGACTTCCTGCTGAGCCAGGAGCCCGATAGGGGGCGCAATCCCAGGACCCTGGGCTCATGACCTGAGCGGAAGGCAGACACTTAACGACTGAGCCACCCAGGCGCCCCTAATAAATAAAATCTTTGGGAAAAAATGTAAATATCCAGCTCCCAGAGCCAGTTCCCAACACTCAGATTCTGACCTCAGATCTATTTCTCAAAAGTGTCTGTTTCAGTGCACTGCATTCCTTCTCTACCTAAATTTGAATAAATGCATGGTGATGGAGCAATATCCCCATGGAATCTGGTTGTACTAAAACAGGCACTAGCATTGCTTTCAAGACAAACCACCTTTTATTTGCATTTCGTTTCAACGTATACAGAGGCCTCATGGTAATATCTGCTGATGCCATTCCTTTTACAAAGAAGAAACCGTGGTTCAAATAAATTAAGTAATTTGTCTCGAGGCTTTGGGGACAGACAGGATCTTCATTTCCTAAATGGGTGATTTTAGTCAAGATACCCAATTCTCTGTATCTCAGTTTGGAGATTAATAATATGGAATAGCACCTAAATTCCCAGGGTTGACGTAAGAATCATTCTTAGCGCGATACCTGGTACATAGCAAACTCCCAATAATAAAAGGTGATGTTATTACTATTTTACAAATCACTGTCATTAATAATGGTATATGCTTGGCGAACAAAGGACTAGAACTCAATCTGCCTTCACTCTCTTGGTCCTCTTGACAACAAAATTTAGGGTATTTGAAGATAACCCGGGGTGAGGAAGAGCCAGGGATGTACCTGAATAGCCGAGTGCAGCCCTACAAGGTATGCGTCGCCCTGAGCTCAAGGTCACTCGGTGAATCAAAATTCCAAGCGAACTTTTCGTCCGTCACCGGGGACGCAGGAAGGGAGGTCCAAGAGGCAGAGCTGCTCCGGCCGCCGCCTGAGACCAAGCAAAGGAGCACCCTCCTCTCCCCAAGGACGTCGAGGGCCGGTCAATGCCACCGATTCCGCGGACCCAGCTCAAGGCCTCTCTAAGCCCCGCGGACTTGAGAACGGCGGCCGCAAAAAGCGGCCTCGGCACCGCCGGCGCCGCGAGAACCTAAGCTAGCTGACCGGGCGGAACTCCGCCACCCTCGCCTGAGACCTTCCGGTGACATGACGTCACAGCAGCGCGAGCCATCCCCACATTTTATTGGTCGGTGCCTCCGACAGCCGGAGTCGGGAACACAGTACAAAGCCGCGAGCCGCCACAGACAGAGTCTCCGCCCCCTAAGCTCCGCCATCTCCATGGTGACCGCTACCCGGTCACCCATTTGGCCTCCGAGGCCGGAGTTGCGTCATTGTCTATGCGCCGGAAGCGATAGCCCCCGAGCCGGTGCAGGCTGACGGCAGCCGACTGGCACTAGTGCCCGCGGAGTTAGACCGTCCCGGGGCTGTGTCGGCTTGGCGGGGGCGCCAAACCTCTGCTAGCCCCTGGGGCAATGGCGGTGTTTCACGACGAGGTGGAGATCGAGGACTTCCAATATGACGAAGACTCGGAGGCATATTTCTACCCCTGCCCGTGTGGGGATAACTTCTGCATTACCAAGGTAACTTCAGAGTCCCGCCCGGCCATTCGTCGGAGCAGGCGCGTTTTTGCTCTTCCTCGTTCCTTCCGCCATTCCGTCACCTTGCGGCTCACACGCCCTCTTTATCCTGTCTCTGAGTCCCCATAAAGTTGATTCTTTGATCTGTCAGTGGGCATAGCGTCCTGGTCTTTAGTCCGGCCGAGGGGTGGAGAGTCGGGGTGGGAAAGGTTGGATGGCGGAAGCTTAAGTCTTGCCATTCTTCCCCACTTAGGGTCCCACTTCCTTTCCTGGGATAGTTTTTTGGAGGCAGGGACACGTTGTTGTCTTCTCAGGGGTTTTGAGGCGATGAACCTTGGCTAACCTTCCCGGGTCTGGTCTGGTCTGGTCTTAAGAGAGAGAGTAGGGGTGGGGGGTGCGGCAGAGGAGCAGAGGGAGGCTAGAGAGAATCTTAAGCAGGCTCCAGGCCCAGCACGGAACTGGGGTGGGGCTCGATCTCAGGACCCCGAGATCATGACCTGAGCTGAAATTAAGAGTTGGATCTTAACCGACTGAGCCACCAACGCGCCCCTCTTCCTGGGTATTTTTAAGTACCGCTTGGCAGGAAAAACGGAGTTGGTATTTCTCTGGGCAGGCCTTTCTGGCCCTCGCATACCTTGTAGGGACGTGAGCTACAAAGGAGCTTGCCCATAGAGGTAGAAAGAGTTTGGAAGGAGGAGATCGCAAAGGGAAGACAATAAAACGGCTTTTGATTTTGTTGTAGGAAGATTTGGAGAATGGGGAAGACGTGGCAACGTGTCCTAGCTGCTCTCTCATTATAAAAGTGATTTATGACAAGGTAAGTAGTTGAATTTTAAACGGTGTGGGGGAGGGTTGCAAGGCAAGGACCTAGAGCAATCTGTAAGTGCTGGAGAACGTTTCTTAGCAGTATGTTAGGTGAGGGCGCCTGGGTGGCTCAGTTGGTTAAGCGACTGCCTTCGGCTCAGGTCATGATCCTGGAGTCCCGGGATCGAGTCCCGCATCGGGGCTCCCTGCTCGGCAGGGAGTCTGCTTCTCCCTCTGACCCTCTCCCCTCTCATGTGCTCTCTTCCTCATTCTCTCTCTCAAATAAATAAATAAAATCTTTAAAAAAAAAAAAATAGTGTGTTAGGTGAGTGCTATGTATTTTTTTAAACAAATTTTATTCCCCCACTCCTAAAACAAATATGTAAAACTATTAATAAACAGCTGTATTGTAAATTGCAACTTTAAAAATCAAATTAACTCATTTTAGCTGTCAAGAAGGCAAAAAAGAAAACTGCACTGTAATTAATGGAAATTATTGATTACTTATTAAATAGAAAAATAATTATAAAGGTTATTTAATTGGCAGTCTGTATTCCTCCTTTATTTAATAAGTGATTAAAATTGTTCAGAGCTCCTAGACTTATTTTGGAGGGAACAGTTGTATAGTATTTCTTACTTGGCTTCTACAGATAGAACTCTGCATTATCTTGTTTTGAGATATGTCATAGCTGCTATTTTACAATTTCATTTTGGTCTTTAATTTTCTTACTGTTTTTCACTCAAGGATATTGACAATAGAAAACAAATGTTCTTATTGCCCACCTCTACCCCAACTTTTGGTCAGTACTTTGAATGGAGTCTTAAAAGTAAGAAGCTTAACAGTATTTTTTCCTTTTTTTTTTTTTAAGATTTTATTTATTTATTTGACAGAGAGAGACACAGCGAGAGAGGGAACACAAGCAGGGGGAGTGGGAGAGGGAAAAGCAGGCTTCCCGCGGAGCAGGGAGCCCAATGCGGGGCTCGATCCCAGGACCCCGGGACCATGACCTGAGCCGAAGGCACATGCTCAACGACTGAGCCACCCAGGCGCCCGCCTTTTTTTTTTTTTTTTTGAGATATAATTGACATATAACAGAGCTTAACATTCTTAAGGATGAACTCTAAAATGAGTATAGGGCAGGTAGCACCAGGCAGTTAGTCTCATGGGAGAAGCATGCTATAATTTAGAAGTTTACGGATTTATTCTTATATCAAAATGTGTTCTGGAACAAAAAGAAAACAGGGTAAGGGAGATTAGGAGTGCTGGTATGAGAAGAGGTTGCAATTTTAAATAGGGTGATCAGGGTAGGCCTTACTGAGAAAGGCCCTATTGAGCAAAGATTGAAAGAGGTGAGGGAGTGAGCCTTAGGGGATAAAAAGCAGTCCAGCAAAAGGAACTTTCAGTGGACAGACCCTAAGGCAGGAACGTGTCTGTTTTTATTGAGGAACAGCAAGTGTGACCAGAGCAGAGTGGATGAAGGTGAGGGAGTAGCCCAGGAGGAAAGTAGTGGAGTGGGGCAGATCACAGAGGTGTTTGTGGGTCACTTTAAAGACTTTGGCTTTTGCTGTGAATGACTTAGGGAACCACTGAAGGATTCTCAAGCAAAGGAGAGCTACAATCCAACTTAAGTTATAACAGAGTGACTCGGGCTGCTGTGTTCAGAGTAGACTCTGAGGAAGCAAGGGTAAGAATAAAGCAAGGGTAACAGGAGGAGGCCCTTAGACGAGCCAGAGGAGGAGATGGATGGCTGCGACCAAGCTGCGGCACTGGAGGTAGTGAGAAGTGGTTGGATTCTGGATGCACTTTAAAGGATAAGGATTGTTTTTACTGATTGAATATAGGATATGAGAGGAATAAAAAATGATTTCAACATCTGTGGTCTTCATAACTGGAAGGATGCATTTACCATCACCTGACGGGGAGGTGTCTGCAGGTGTAGGGGCAGGAGTTGGATATACTAAGTTCAGGAGGTGTTTTTGATCCAGTTGGAGAGCAGGTGAGAAAGCAATTGGATATGCAAGTCTGGAGTTCAAAGAGCGAGATCAACTGGTGCTGTACATTTGGGAATTATCAGCATATATATATATATCACATTTAGAGCCCTGAGATTGGATGAGATCACCAGGGCTGTGAATCTAGATAGAGATGGACAAAAGAAAGGACTGAGCTCAGTCGCTCCCAATATTTAAAGGTCAGGGAGGGAAGTGAGGAATCAGCAAAGCTGGCCGAAAAGGAAGAAGGAGGAAACCACCAGTGCCATATCCTGGAAGCCAGATGAGAAAAGGTGGAGGAAGTGAACAACCTTATCAGATGCCACTGCTAGATAACTGAAAATTAACCACTGGCTTTAATGGGGAGGCCGTTTGGATGGTGGTAAGAGCAGTTTTGATGAAGTAATAGAGACAGAGCCTGATTGGTGGAAGGCTTACTGGAGAGAACAAGAGAAGAATAGGAAGCAGCAAGCATAGACGTTTCTTTCAAGAAGTTTGCTGCAAAGGGGCATAGAGACATGGGGCAGTAACTGGTGGTGATAGAGGATCAGGAGAGGGTTTAAGGTGGTAGACATCCAGCTACGTGGGTGAATATAGACACAGGAGGTTAAATTTAACCAGGGTTGTGGTTTTGTCAAGTAGGTAGGAGGGAGTAAGAGACGAGGATTGTGATAATTGACCATGGACTTTAGGTTCAGAAAACCCAGAGAGGACCAGTGATGATACATGTCATGTCATAAGAGTCAAAGTTGGTGGGTTTCAGGGAGGGAAGGAGGACAGTGGCCGAAAGGAGCAGCCAGCCCCTCCTCCGGTCTCTGTGGTACCGGCACCCTGAGAGAACACGGGACCACCACTGAGGAGGTTATAGGGAAATGGTGTCCTTAGGGGATAGCCTGTTCTCAAACTCAGCATTATGCGCATTTGGGGCTTAATAACTCTTTGTTGTGCAGGGCTGTCCAGTGCATTGTAGGGTGTTTAGTAGCATCCCTGGCCTCTACCCATTAGACGCCAGTGGCCCTTCCCCAGAATGTCTCCAGATTATTGCCAAGTGTCCCCTGGAGACAACATCAGCACGCCTCTCCCACCACTTGAGAACCACTGGGTTAGAGTAAAAAGGCGCAGGAATGTTTTAAAGAAGAGGTTGAGAATATGGAGCAGTGTGCTGATCAACAGACCATAAATTCCAAAGAGGAAGGTGGGGTCGGGGAGGAGGCTCCAGGTGCTGGGTGGGTTCAGTGAGAGTGTGGACACAATATGGGCTGACCCTGCTGGGGATCAGACCGTGCGAGATGAGGGGTAACCTGGAAGGCAGAGGTGGCTTGTGGTAGCAGACAGAAGCCAGGATGCATAATCAAGAGATTGGATTTCCTTTACAACGTAGGTGACACTGCAGATTATCTGTGTAAGGAAACATAAAGAGCTATCCCTTTTAGTTAGAAAAAGTAATTACCTTGAAGAGGACAGGTATTCAAATGACCGAATATTGAAGTGGAGAAGTTTTAGTGTAGCAATTAATACAGAAACTTAAAAAAGGTGTGATATATCTTTACAAATGTGATATTTGACAAGTGGATGCTTGTTTATAAGGTGCTTTAAGTGTGAATTCGGGACTAAAAACTGAAGCATTTTTAAGATTATAATTTTGGTGCCGACATTGACTCTTTGAACAAAGACGAAGTGATACAGCAATGAAAAACAAACAAAGCTGCGGGGCCCCTGGCTGGCTCAGTTGGAAGAGCATGAGACTCTTGATCTCGGGCTTGTGA